CCAAAGCTCACACTGACTCACTTACACTCGATTTAAAACCAAAAGGGAGTATGGATGTATAACGGACAGCATAGAAGGATTCCCGATGTACACAGTAAGAACAGAAGAAAAGAATTTACGCCAAGATCCTCACTAAGAATGACATCGAAAAGGCTTCGAAGTCTTGCAGGTCAGTTGTGATAGCCGTAAGCAGTTTGAGGAATTCGCCTTTTTTAGGGCTCAACGACTGCTACAGCCGTGCGGTTTACTCAGTTTGGAAAATCCTTCCTTTGAAATATGTCGCGCGCACAAATTTAACTCTCTCCTAAAGTGAGCTGGCACAACCCGAAATTCCCTCCTTGGTTTTCAGTTGAATTAAGAATATAGCCGGCTACCTGTTCTTATCCAGCTGTAAATTGTGTAATCTCTGAGTTGTGCGTCGACCTCATTCGCGTGATGATTCTGGGGTTTTTTGGGGGACATCAACTCTCATCTCGACTCTGTGGTTAGAACTAGCTACTCAGACACAAACATGTGTTCACTGACAAAGCTTACAGGATTCTCGGTAATCTTGGTATAGGACGTTTCCGATATGGTACTAGAATGTCGGGGAACCTGACCATAGTTGCTCGGTCAACAGGACAGAAGCCTTCAGTCCTAAACATGAGACTATCAGTGTCTCGTGGGTCACGCTGAGGCTTGCGTGGTAAAATGACAGACGACTGATCTGCTGAGTTCAAAATCCTAAGATGAGCAAAAGTCCCACATACCGACTATGGGGTATCTGAAAAAGCGGGAGTTAGTGCTTTTTTGCCGAAGTCTATGAAATTGATGGCGAAGCAAAGATCCTAAGTCACACCTCGGTCACAAACGGTTTAATCAGACCTCCCTGCCTTTCAAACTCAGTGTTGGGCTTCCATGTTCCATCGAAGGTTCCTGCGAGCGAAATTCTGTGCCAGCTTCCCAACGAGGGATGGCACAACAATAACCAACTTTTTTCAGTAAATATCCCTTCTGGCGTTATAAAATTCTAAAAAAATCCGTTTCTAAGATGTCGAAAAGCTGCTGTGCTTCATGCCATGGTTCCATCTTTGAGCCGGATGTCGCTAAAATTACCCAAACGTTCCCGCATTCTCGCTAGGTAGTCAGAGACCAGTCAACTTCGCGTGGTACTTGGTTAGGTGAAGATGGTATCCAATTTCTTCTGGCACATTCTTCTAGTGCGACAGGAAAGCTGTTGGGGCATCCGCAGGTGCATTTTAATCCTATGCATCCTGGTTTTAGTCAGATTTCGCTAACTTGCACTGCAACGGCTTTATTAATGTCATTTATTAGAAGACTGTTCGTTTTAAACAAGACCAGGACCGCTGATTGTTGTTACTCCGTGCGATTTTTTAAACACAGATAAGTATTATTCACATTGTGTTCTTTAGCGAGAGGAAACAAAACAAAGGCGTGTGTCTCTAGCGCGTTGTGGACTGTGGCAATCGGTTTATCGTTTCTGGTAGATTATCGCGAAAAAGTCCATCGTCAGCTCGTTTACACTTTGCATTGGGCCTGCCAATCAAATGTTTGTTAAGTGGCGTTATGAACGGAAATAGAACATAACGTTCACAGAGTTTCGTAATGAAAAATTATTCACCTACGCCACATCAATTTAGAGGCGGATGTGTTGGACACTTGGCCAGCAGCACCGCCAAGGGCACATCACTTACTTCGCGGGTGAAATCTTCCGTGAACCGTGCCAGGAGGTGGTTGATAGGAGCTCAGACGCCCCTCTGCTCTAAGAACCTAGCTCGGCCAATTGATAGCTCATCGATTTAGGTTCTCAGACCCCTGGAAATGGGGTAGAAATCCCTCACTGTTATATTTTGTGCGTATTTTAAGAAAGTTCGTTTGCACATTGCCATTTATTGTTAGGTTCGCGGAATAAATTACACGGACTGACTTCAAACAGTAGTTTGGCTGTATTCATCACTTGATTCTAAATTCGGCCTTGGGATAAAAGATTCGCTTAGTTTAAGGACAATGAACTTATTAATACTTCCTGATGTATAAAACATAGTCCGCGCGCCTTTACACATGACTCTAAACTGCTCGAAAAAATGTCCGTCTGCTTGTAATGGTCTGGCTACCCAAAAAGCTACTATACCAGGAGTTTGTGGCAGAGAAATAAAAATAATAACGCTAGATTTAGCATACAATAATAAAGAGGTCAGATGGAACAGACTCACTAATAATTGTTCCCTTTAAAATAGTGCGTCGTTAGCCCAGTTCAGCGAAAAAACAATAAGCCATTCGCGGTTGTCCAGGGGTCTTCTTCTGAACAGCTCTCACATGTAATGAGCTTCGAAGATAGTCTGAAATGTTTTGATACCAGAGTAAGCACATGAAACCCGCGAATGACAGCTGCAAGCGCGCATTTTGTGGCTTCGCGTATTCAAAAAAAGTTTGGGCATTTGGCGAAGTGCCTAATGTTATATTGGAGGCAAAAGGAGGGTACAGAACACCACACGCCTACCCTCATTCATCCTTACTGCTACCCTCCCGGTCGTCGGGCTCACCGACGTAGGCTGTATATGTGATTTTTGCTAAATCTTCGGTGCCAGGGACGATTTAAGGAACTTAGATATCGTATTTTCGTTCCCATAGACTCATCAACATAGCAAGAAGCTTGGTAAGCATATTGATATTGTTGCGTGCCTCGTGTCGTGTTAAGGAACATGCGTCGTAAGACTGGCGTGACAGCGAAGATATGAATGACCTCCCATTCCCTCTTGATTGTTTCGAAATGAATGGCTTGGCAGTTGTTTTTTCTAAAGAATTAGTGAAAATAAAGTCTAAACTTTAAATAAAGTCATTCTGAATACGACAATTTCAGGCAGTCTTCAAGCTGGCTCCATAAATTGTCTCGGATGTAGGAATAACAGAATGATTAGCTGTGAGCTACTTATGGTATTTCAGTAGCTAAACGAAAGAACCAATTTTATCACCGTCATTTATTTCTTTTTTTCTTCATAATTCCTCGTTCCGCAACAACGCAATCTATCCCACAAATATGGTGAGAATTCGGTTTCTGTCCATGAAGTCCTTTTTGTTACAGCAATAAATCATCGTACGTTGCATAGAGGTTGTTGGTCTGCAAAAACTTGTCACTGTCCACCTTTAGCCACGTACGTTCGAATTCGGTTTTCTGTGAAGTACGCGAAATTTTTCACTTATCTCCTGTGGGTAACCCTGCCAAAAAACTAGCCTACACCCAGGTTTTCGTGACTGTCTCTGTGGCTTCTGCTTCCACTGGTGATGTTCGCACGGTTTCATGGCGTTTTTGTGAATGGTAAATCAGAGCACAGACTGCGTTTCATCGGTAGTATACACCGTCACACCGGTAGCCGTTGGAACCAGATCGCACGTGCATACATATAATTCTGCTAGGAGGATTGGTTAGCTTTTTTGACATTACCTTTCCCGTTTAACAATTTAAAACTACTGGAAATGGCTGATGCTATAGACTGATAAATACTGTACTGATCCAAACTGTCTACGAAGAGTTCTAGGGGAGCGACGTTTTTCCCTAACAATCTGTTCACAAGAAGCGAACAGACCTCACGACTCAGAGGTTGCAGGGATCAGACAATGGTCTACAGCGCATGACAACAGATGTGGCGCTAGTTGACAGGTCTATCAGGATAATGGAGATCATAAGTGAGGCAAGTGCTGAACGTCGGGATGCTGAGGCTTATTTGATTCCGTGCACAGACGTGGAACCTAACTGCCTCATTATGCGTCACCTTTGCTCCTTCGTTCAGTTCCTAAAAATTATTGAGTAGTAGGGGCATCCTTTTGCGCCGTGACTACATCAAAATCACTCTTCCAACGTAATACTTCACCAACAAGCGGAGCATCCTTGTCTTAGGTCCCTCTCACCTCTCTGGATATCCTTGTGGAGCAAACAAGACACATCGACACTTTTGCCCTCATAAAGCCCTGTGTCCCTATAGTGGCTCGTGAGAATTCGTTTTGCTCCCACGGGATCCCAATACTATCCGGGAAGACGCTCCAACCTGGAGTTAACTAAAAGCTGTACCAGCACCTTTGTACGGGCAGTTGTAAGAACGGATACATACTTACACGGGTAGCAAGTACTCAATGCCTGTGGAACCCGTTGCATACCATATGGGCGACACCATACGTTTGACCGTCAAGGGAACTGAGAAGTAGTCACCGGTTACCTGAGTGACCTTGCACGCTGGAGGGATAATGCGGTACCAACACCATTACCAAACTTCAATCTGACATTTCTGTGCCCTGGTGTGTTTTCAGTCTTTTAAAACAGAACATACCCTCCTGGAGGTCAAAGAGTGAAGCTTACCAGGATGGTAAAAGAACTGCGCAATCGTAGCTCTTGCTGGGACACATACATCCACTCGTGAATGTGTGTTTTTATCCTCAACATCATTTGTCTTGAGCTTTATCTCGGGATGGAGGTACCTACTGCCCTGAAGTAGTGTCCTTTTAAATTGGAAAAGTTGTAGTTAGGACGCCAACCAACCAAGAGAGACACGCGAGCGCAAGAACCAACATAGGGAAATCCGTACCCCCAAGTTCAGCGACCGATTCATCTCAATTTCTGTGCTGTGGACTCAATAAACGATGCGGACACTGCCCACGTCGGTTTCCGCTATCGGCAACCTGAACCAGAATCTGGATTATGTTCTGTCCACATTTGCCCATTGCCATCTAAATTTTTAGGTTTTCACAGACCATCAGCCCATTTTTTTCTTACCGTAACCTCACCTATTTCCATGCAATTACTCCAGTTTAGGGCCCATTGTTTCGTTTTTGCCTTGTTCATGTTCTTAATCTCGCGTCCGGACTGCAGGCATTCAATCGTTCTCTACTACCTTTAGACGGTGTCAGCTGTCTACGAACACTGCATATTACGAGTGGAAGATAACTACCACAAACATTATCATTGTTATTAGTAGTATTAGTAGTACTGTCATTAAATTATTGACTAGTAACCCTGATGATTGATCAACTCGCCCGAGTAGTGGATCGGAAACGCCAGCCAGGCCGTTTGAAGACCAACACTGTTTTCATCGGTGTCAAGCGTGGTTCCTGTAGCCCACGTTCCAGTGCAACCTTCCCGTCAAAGGAAGATGGGATACAGAGTTTCTCACCTGGTTGCTATCCTCATCTGATTCAGCAAGACCATCAACCGGACGAATTCTAACGATCTGATCCACTTGCTGTAAGAATACAAATCCTCAGCGCCTTTGATGGTTGGAATACTCGGCGGATTTCCAGTGCTTATGGAAGCGGGTATGAACTCTTGTTGATCTAGAGACTCCGTTTAACGACGAGAGTGCACTGATGAGCAGCGTCACATGCTGGACTGGTGATACAGTGCACAGGTGGTTGCCATCCTGTATACGGCCATTTCTGGCACCATTCCGGCGCAGCTCTCTGTATTCAAAACGGGAGACATCCACTTGGACAGCTTGCAGAGACCAGCAAGCTTGGTGATACCAGAGGTATGCAACCTCAGCTACATCGACTGACGCTTATCCTTGCATTTCTGTGTGTAGGTACAACGCTCCAGACTTCGAGACCTCCACCTCAAAAACTTTCTCTTTTGCGGCAAAAGGATGACACCACTGTACACATGTGACATACTAACCTTGGGTTCCTCGTCTGCAAATGGTCTGTAGACACGTAGAAGGAATGATCAGGGACTGTGGTCACGCCATTTTCCATCGCACCACGTGTCGAACAAACATCTTTGATTTACAGCAGATGCGTGAGATAAGTCCTTACGCTTAGCAAAACAAGAAAGGAAGGAACCAGTCGTCCCCTTCACGGAAAAAACCACACTTTATGAAGTAATTTTGAAATCAAAATTGAGAAAATTCGGATCTTTTACTGCTGAAACCCTTTGTATCACAATCTTTTCCACAGTTTGCATATACTGAGCAACACTCATGTCGGCACAAAACATCAATGACCATGACCAAATTCGGACGCCGAAACCCATTCACATCCGTTCGTGGATTTTTAAGAAGAGCTCCGGTCTATGTTAAACAACCAAGAAGCATTGTGCAGCTGGCCATGAGCTGCTGATAACCGGGGGTGTATGAATTTCACTTAGTCAAGATATAGTGCCACTCATCATTCAGCAAAGGAATTCACATCACGTGATCTCGGATCGACCGGCTTCTCGAGTGACGACTTTTCAGAAAGCTGGTTGGTGTGACAGAAACGGGACAAACGCATACTGTTTTAACGACCATCTGGTTTATCACGTCAAGCAAAACACGGAACGCAACCGATTGACGGTTCAAATTCTCCATGAAGAAGGTATATGCGGAACATCTCTTGCTTCAGACGCCTGCATTCATTCCGCATTATGTGCCAGCATCTGTTTAGGTGGGCTCAGATTGCCGGAAAACGAACAGGCTGAGAAATTAGTCTGATCAGGATTTACAGATGGATTCCGTAGAAGACCAAGTAATTAGTTCAAATGTGGTAAACTTGACGTCGTGGTGGTTTGTGCGTCGCAAACAGAAAACGTACGGGAAAAAATCAATTTCCATCTTGGAAGAAACAAAGCGGAATACAGTTCTGCGAGATTGCATTGAACGTAGCTTAGGGTGCTTGAGTGTAAGGTAGTGGAGTTGGCGAACAATCACTGCAGTTTGTCAATGAAAAATGTCTTCCGTTGGAGTAGCCCAGAGCAACCTTCTTGCAAACTCGGCCTTAACTTGTGGGTTCAGAAATGCCCGCTTACCTCTTGCCGATAGCCACAAACAGTGGACAAGCAAGTAAAAAACGATACTATGGTTTCCTCTAATCGGCAGCATATGCCCAGTCAAGGTATAATGGCGAAGGTCATAGGAGTCAAGTCTCTGATCACGGGATATACGGATGGGGTGGATGGGGTCTGCATTGTGTTGATCACAGGAGAGATTACCGTCACTTTTCTGACAGAACATTTTACAAGCCTGTCAGGTTAGACCTATCCAGTGTCTCAAAAGAACTATTCGAATTTATCGGGTTAAATTCCCCGAAATATTCTCTAGCCTCAATTCCTCTCTAGAACTCTAATGGTTACGAAACCAGAACGAGAGGACCAGCGCATTCTCAGTAGAGGCAGCCTCCCAACAACGGGTACCTTCTGGAAGGGCTTCAATCCAACCTACAGACATCTCCAATCCAGAATCCAAGAAGCTTCAAATAGGAGCTCTACCCCTCGCTACAACGATGCAGTATGTGTTCTCTTAAGTTGACGTCGGTATTCGCCGGCAGTCCATCACGGTAAGTTCTCCCTCCAAGGCGTAACGCTGGGGATAATCTGTCATTTGTTAGTGCACAGGTGGTGATAGCCATAACACAAATCAGAAGGTTTATGTGTACTAACAGAGTAGTACATTA